TTCTTCGTTCCCAGCCAGTCCTTCTATGTTGTCCACAAAGCGTAGGTTGGTGATTGTTCTGCCACCAATGCTGACTGTCCCTTCATGCGCTTCCAGAGCATCTGACATAATTCTCTCTAGGAAGATGTTGAACAGAGTGTGGGAGAGCAGGCAGCCTTGTCATACTCCAACCATGGTCTTGAACCATTCTCTGAGGTTGTTGTTGAGGAAGACTGCACTGGTGGCCTTATCATAGAGGTTGCATATCATTCTGGTGAAGTTTGTGTTGGTGTTGTAGTATCTCATGGTGGCCCATAAAGCAGAATGCCAAACCCTGTCGAATGCTTTTTTGAAGTCCACAAAGACGTGGTATAGGTTTTGTTGGTGTTGAGCATATTTCTCACACAGTATTTGGAGGTTTAGAATCTGCTCAGTAGTGCCCCGTCCTTGTCTGAAGCCCTCTGTTCTTCAGCAATGATTCTGTCGGCATATGGTTTTAGTCGGTTCAATATGACCTTCAGCATGACCTTGCTTGGATGGCTTATTAGGCTAATGGTGCGATAGCTTTGGCATAGCTGTAGGTTACCTTTTTTGGGGAGGGTGACGATGAGCGATTGGGTCCATGGTTAGGGCCATTCTCCTGTAAGCCAGATTTTCTTACAAATATTGAATAGGGCACTTATCATTGCTTCTTCTCCTTGTTTCACCAACTCGGCAGGGTTTTTTTCCGCTCCTGCTGCCTTTCCTGTTTGAAGTGCTTGGACTGCTGCTTCTACTTCTGCGCTGAGAATAGGGTAGTTATCATTGTTTGTTGCTGGAGGGACATTAAGGATCTCTGGGTCTATCATTATACAGCTCTGAACAGTATTCAGTCCATCGTTTTATGATATCATTTTCCTAAGATCAGCTCGATGGAGGTAAATTTTTCCCTTAAAGTAGGACCGAAAGACATAAAATTAGTTGTTCTTCGGTCTGTAAGAATTTACCAGCGTGCTCCCCCAGTGGTTACAAACTCTAAATGATCACCAATTAAGTCCCTATTGTCACGAAGGGAGTTAAGTCTTGTAATATATGATGGCTGATATGAGAAATACTCAAGATGTTTTGTGTTAAAATTGCTCTAGCTGTAAAATGTTGTCTTGGTTAGAATATTTACTTATTTATGTGCTGAAATTAAATATGTGCAATGCAATCAAAAACATTTCCATCTATTTGATCAATTAAAAAAAATCTTATCTTAAACTGACTGTTCATTAAATTGATATTAAACAAAAACAACTGTTAAATAGTTCTAACCATTAGTGTTAATAAATGGCCTCATATATTTATACAAAGCTTAACTTGTTTTTTGGGGGGTTTTTTGTGAATTCATCCAGGTCCGTAATTTTATTCACCAATGACTCATTGTCTTATGCTCATTTTTTTTAATTACCCAGTTAGTAAAACTATGTAAATTAAATGTGCTGAAATAATAATGAGACACTTGTAATCTCTAATAATTTAACCTAAAGGTTGAATACTGAAGACTTACATAAAAAAGATATCATTAGTTAGTATAGTAAATTAAACAAAAAACTGCAACATTGTGATTTTTTGTAAACATAAACTTATTTAGTAACTAACTCTATACCAGTTATTCAGTAAATAATTGATTTTGTTTGAAGTTAAAAGCTATTTCTTTCACAGCAACAAACTCAAGGGATTTGATGTTTTTCTAGAACAAAAGCAGGCAGCATTCTTGAACTCCTACAAGGCAATATCCAGTCTCACCATGTACTTATTGAATGCACTAGAAGACTTAGACATCACTACGCTTGAATTAAATAGGACACAATATTTTACAGAATTTTTGCAGGTTTGTCAAATAAATTAGGATCAGTAAGTAGTTGTACATATATCTGGATGAAAGAGTGCAGCTGTTTATATTAGGAACCAGATATATAGAAGCTTGAAATATAAACCAATAACACTAGCCTTTCAGCAGTATACCTTCTTTCCCCAACAAAACAAGGCAAATAATTGGACAAAGAAATTAGCTTGAAAGCCTTGAAATGTAAACACTGTAAGGAAATACACCAAATATAAGAATTATGGGAAGGGTTAGGATGTTTGTGTTAGGATGTTACTCTGATGTACTGATTGTCCGTGTCTGTATATACAAATGGCAGGAAATTAAAAATCAATGGAAAATAATGTACTTGGTTGAAAGTACTATTATCACTACTTGAACTCTGGTTTATGAAATTGGTGGCACTGTGAAGAATACTGATTGATAGTACTATTATCACTACCGGTACTTAAACTCTGGTTTCTGAAATTGGTGCTGTGAATGATACATCTGACATGTCTTTAAGTGCTCTTCCATTAAAAGGAGAACTTAAATGTCCTGTTCCTAATATTACCTTCATAATGTTTCAATGCGGTCTCCACAATATTATCGTTCGATTTTCTTGAACATATACTGTTATTATCTTTATTTTTTGTACAGAACATTAACTTTACTGCAAAATATTTTTTCTCAAGGTGTCTTTATGGGGTAATAAATGTGATTTGTCCATCTCTGCTGGCAATGACAACCACCAGGAACACTGCCCACTTGAACAACTGACCAAACTCAAACCAAATTTGCTTATAGACAATACAGATGTTGTATATCAGGTCTTAACTAAGGCTTTAGAGAAACGCAATGGACAGCCAGGTCTGTTAACTTAATTGATTTAATCTGTGTTTATTGTTAATTAAATTAGAGTTTTAGTATTTGGAATGTTTTTTAAATATTTTTTCTGTTAATATTTTTTACATCACTAGATTTTTCAATAATATTATGTTATGAAATACTCAAAAGTATATTAAATTAAACAAGTATTAGAAGTTAAGTATGATCCAAGTTAAAGTCCTTGACCTTATATTACACTCTTAATGGCACTTACATTTGATTCTAGAAATTTGTTTCATTTCAAATAATTTAATATTATCATCTTAATAATCTTGTGATATTTTCTAAGTGAGATATACAATGTGGAACTCTCAGAATATTTAAATAAAATTTACATTGAAAAAAAATTAATGATTGATCAAATCCAATTGTCTTGGCAAACAGATTTTTAAAATTACAATTTATAAATTATATCCAGGTAGAGTGGACATCATCTTGGACAATGCAGGGTTTGAACTTGTTACTGATCTGTGCTTAGCTGAATTCTTAATTGCTTCAGGCCTTGTAGCTAAGATTCACTTCCATGTCAAAGCCATCCCATGGTTTGTGTCTGATGTCACAGAACAAGATTTCACGTGGACACTTAAGCAGATGTCTGCCATGAATCACCTGGCGATCAGCAAGCTTAGCCAGAAGTGGAAGAATTACCTGCAGCACGGCTCCTGGGTCATTTCAGTAAGTGATTTTTGGACCCTGCCGAATGACTACAGTCAAATGAAAGAACTTTATCCCGATTTGTACAGTGACTTAAGCACGGCAGATTTAATTATATTCAAAGGAGACCTCAACTATCGGAAACTTGTTGGGGATCTGCAGTGGAGCTCAACCACAGACTTTTCATTCAGCCTTAGGGGATTTCACCCAGCTCCATTGTGTGTTTTACGCACTTTAAAATCTGATGTGGTAGTTGGTATGCAACCAGGGCAGGCTGAAGAAGTCGAAACAAAAGACAAGAACTGGATGACGACAGGAGCATGGGCCGTCATTTCTGTTGACAATGGTGTTGTAAGTGACTCTTAGCAATGGTGTTTCAAAAAACAACAGTGATGTCTTTCTTATTTGACTACTCAGAATTTTTATATTTTGTTTAATAGCTTTTTTAAACTTGGGTGTATGCATTTACTCCAAAGAGTTCATTAGTTGTTGTTTTTTTATTTGAGTGTATGCATTTACTCCAAGAGTTGATAATCTGGAGAGCAATGAAGAGTGGTTTTAACTTCTAAAAACCTGCTACTAATCGTGAAAATAAAATGTTTCCTAATAACGATTAATCAGTTAATTTCTACACAGACTTTTAAATTATTTCTTGAATTTAGATTTGTCAGTTTTTGTATTTCAACTAACGATGTGTCTGTGCCAGATGAAAGCAATGTTGTGAGAGTAAGACAACTCTTGTCTGTAAATCATTGAATTAGAGAGTAATATTTTCTTCTTGTTGGTATTATAATTTATTTATGTTTTCATTTTCATTCTCTCAGAAACACTGACTAGCGTTATATTCAGTAGTTTTGACAGTATAACTCAAATGACTACTTCCAGCTGTTGTCTTTAGGTTTTATGTTCTCTATCATCACAAGCTAGTGACATTTTCTTTTCTGGATAGCTACACCACACTGCAATTATCTGAGGATTACATTAACACTGAGACAATAAATGGTATTTATCCTTATGCAGAGCTTCATGCCAGTAAACTTGGATGATTGTGGCAAAAGCAAACATAAAATGTCATCTGAAATGTTTTATTTCTTTCTAAATTGATGAACTTTAGTTATTATAAACCAATAAATTTGTCTATTTAAAAGGATCGTTCAGTGCCAATTGTTTATTCAATAATATAGTTTCAGTCTCATATGTAAATGTTTTTTAATATACATAGATGAATGAGAAGGCTAACTGTTGCTAATGACATGAGATGACCGACAGTGTAACTTTTGCTAATGACATGTGATGACCAACAGTGTAACTTTTGCTAATGACATGTGATGACCAACAGTGTAACTTTTGCTGGTGATTTGAGATGACTGAACATCATTTGTATTAGAACTGTTATTTTAAACAAGTTAATGCATTTATTTAATTGGTCTAAATTTATTTGTCGCTTTCCTGTCAAATATCAAAGATTGGATTAAAGCAAATATTTTTTTCTTACATTTTTGTCTTTTTGCATAATCATTTTTTTTTTAATGCATATTTGTTTAAAAACTTTTTGCTGTAAATTTTCTATCAATAAAAAGCTGCACATTTTTATTCTAATTTTTGTAACAAATGTGATCAATAAATTGTGTTTTTAAAATGAATTTTCAATTTAAAACCTTTTTGCAAATATTTGCCCATTAATTTATATTAAATATTTTTACAACTGAACATTGTATTTTTCATTTGACTTGGATCAACTAAATGTGTTTCTTGCAACATTAATTAATTTTAAAACATTAAGAACACTGTTCGGAGGTTTCAAACATTGTTTAAACAAAATATTTTATTTAAAAGAGAGATACAACATTATTGTTGTATAAATAAGTTGTGCATTCGTACTGCTGGAAAAAAACATTAGAATGGCTTTGTAAGTTTTGTATATTTACAAATTAAAAATATAACACAACAAATAGAAATAAGGCATTTATGGAACAGGCTAAATGTAAATAATGCACACAAATTATGAACATCTTGCAAAATAGCATAGTCAGTTGCAAAATTGATAAGGAAATAATGAGCTAAAGGAGAGCAGACATTTTGACAATTATAATACAAGTGATCCATCCAGTACCGGTAGTAGATCTCTCCACTTGAAATCAAACCAACAGCTGCCTTGTTCAGAAAGATTCATTCAATTCATATTATAATCATTATAAACTGCCTTTTATAAACTAACATTTAATTAGGCTTTTAATATTAAAATGCAAATTTGTACTTTACCATCAAACCAATAATTGAATGAAACTTGTCAGCATAATTATTTTATTCCTATGCTGTTCTGTCCTTTCTAACAAAAGCAAATATATATAAAAATTCCTATTGTAAGCGTCAAAAGTTACTTGAATTGTGGATAGCGTTTAACTTGAAAGAAGCAAATTTAAGATGAGCATTTTGTGTACAGAAATAATTTCATTGAAAGTGAGCAATTATTTCTTAATATAATTCACAATTGCATTATTTGTAATACAGCCTGACTCGTTTTAGCAAGGAAAACTTTACTTCAGTTTGTCGAGGATTGTTTCTTCTGTCAAATCATCCAAACTCCGCAATTCTATGACCTGAAAAAACAAGTCAATAAAACTGACTATTTATTTGCTCAAATAAAATGACTTCATTGTTAAAGGCTAAATCTGATTAATTGAAAGAGTTTTATTGAAGCCATTTGTTTTGTTTACTTTTAATCTACATATCATAGATCTATAAGTCATAAATAAATTTCAAAAGGAAATTTTCTTATTTTGCACAATGATTATTCAAATCTAACCTTTGTGAAATCACCATCTTTAACAGCTTTTGTCTTAGAACCAGCATACATCATCTGTTGTTCAGGACTACAGCCTTAAACAAAAGTCTAGATTTATTACTGCTAGTCACTTTGGCTACTCATGCTCATGTCACTTTAAATTTAAACATAAAATTTTTTTTTTCATTTTCAACTTAAAAACAAAAAAGACTTTCAAAGAGTTTAACAATGCACTAAAACAGGGGTCTCAAACTCGCGGCCCGCTGGCCACAAGGAGTATGAGGAAGAAAGTTAAGCGTAGTTCTTGAGAACCCTTAATGTTTTTATTTGTTATTAATATAGGTTGAGTAGATTTAACAGTTGTACTTTATTGAATTTGTAATAGTTTTTTTAAGGAATACTTGATGCGGCCAAGTTTCACTCAGACTCTATTTCCTGCGGCCCCCGGATGATTTGAGTTTGAGACCCCTGCACTAAAAGGTAGCAAATAATTTAAATTTATTAAAATGCATTAGGCAAAGAAAGTCTGTGCAGAAGGGTAGTAGTAGTAGTAAGTTACTCTATGATGCCAAAGAAAGTCTGTACAGAAGGGTAGTAAGGCACTCTATGAAGCCAAAGAAAGTCTGTACAGAAGGGTAGTAAGGCTCTCTATGAAGCCAAAGAAAGTCTGTACAGAAGGGTAGTAGGGTTCTCTATGAAGTCAAAGGATTCAAATTAAATTTAGAATAAACGAAAAAAAAAAAAATTTAATATTAATTTATGAAAATATTTTCTACGCTCCCTATCAACACCTGCTTCAAATGACTTTAAATGTTAGTTGGACGCAGGTGCAGGCTGACACGGGCAAGAGGGTCAAGTGGGACAAAAAAATTATATTGGATATAAGGACAAGAAAATCTGACGGATTTGTGAGTGGAGAGAAAGTCTTTAAAAAATTTAGATTTATTACTTCTAAACAGTGGCATAGCTAGGATTTGTGCCACCCAAGATTTCTGCCGCCCCCTTCCATGAAAAAACTCTGCAGTTGGCAGAAATTGCCACCATCCATTTAAAGAAAACAGAGCCGCTTGGCACGTCCCCCCCCCCCCCCCCACTTAGGCTGACCCAAAGTACAGGAAATGTGATGTGAAGATTCCAGTTATACCACAGAGTAATTATGTAATTGCTTAAAGGACCTACAAATAAATTAATAATTTTTTAAAAGTTATAGCTGCTTACCCTGTGGAGAAATGAAAATAAAGACAAGGGGATAAGAGACTCGGCCATCAGCATGTTTTAGCACATAGCTCAGGCATACATATCTGGGCTGCTGTGGTGGTAATTCATCTTGTAACTCAGATATTGAAATGTTCTGTGAAAATAATTGGAATAGTATCATGTTATATCAGGCATTTTCATCAAATATTGAATGGTTGAATATGATTTTTCAAAAATCCTCTTAACATGTGATGAATAAAAAATTTGGAATTTTTAAATAATAATTTTAATATATTAATATTGAGAAACTTGTTTAAAAAAAAAATAAAATGATATACCTTTAGGACTTCAAAATTGGCAGTGTGTATTAATGATCCACAAAATGAGATTGAAAACTGAAGTTAAGTTATTAATAAAATAAAGAGAACATAAGGTAAAGTCATAAATTGTCACACACTTCAGTGACACTTCTAACCTATCTCTCCTTAGTCATACTCTAATAATATAAAATCTTTGAAGCCTTCTGATCATTTTTAAATCTTACGTCATATTCTTCATCCAGTACGATCTTCAGAGATGCTTTGTCAATTTTCACTAAAAAAAATATTGAAAGAGAATAACTTTAAAAAAAACACCTATTAATTAATATTATGGCTAATATTTTAACTTGCATTGGCTGTTTTAACTCAAAATGAAAATTGAAATTTGATAAAAAATAGAATGGCTATTCTAAATATAACAATTTAGATGCCTAAAACTGTGTTTATGGCAGCTGCCAAATTTGAATGAAAGCAAATTACAACTTATCCAACAAACTACAATTTCTCCAAAAAACTACAACTTTTCCAACAATGTATTACTCTTGTTATCATTCTTTAGATTTTATAAAGTTGAAACTTAATGCATCTGTTATGATATGCAACTTATGCCTCAAGATACTTAACTTAATTATTCATATTGTAAAAAAAATATATATATAATTTAAAGCTGTGTAGAAAAGTTTTATATTTAATATTGAATTTGCACCTAAAACTAAGAACTGAAGAGTGGTTAAGTGCATGCCTGTCATTAATAGGATCTGCTCCGAGTTTTAATTTACATTCGCTGCAGTTTTTTCATGTCATTTTTAATTATATAATTTATTGTTTTGCTATTTATTAAGTCCATTATGTTTTACCAATGTTTATAAATAATATGACAGGTCTAGGGAGGCCATGTCAAGAATTTGTGGTAATTTGTGTTAAAGGTGTCTAAATTGTGTTGATTGGGGGTGGGTGGGGTGTAATAAATTCTAAAGTGCATTATGAATGGTTCTAAACGTTTTGACAGCATAATAAAAGGAAGGTTATTAAAAAAGGGGTTAAAAAAGTATCAAATAAAATCTGTAATAATATCTGTCTTTTAAGAAAATTTATTGATATTAAAATATTGCTATTGCATAAATAAAGCTATATTTATAATAAACGTTTACCGATATCAATAACAAATTAAATATAATTCTACTTACATACAATAGCTGCAACATTCTTTTCTTTTCGAAGTTTGAATTTCTTTAGCAGATCAATAACCTCTTGAGACATGTCACACACGCTTACATTAGTTGACTGCAAATTACAAAATTATTAATGTTAAAATTATTTAGGCTCTTGAAAATGTAAATAGCCCTAACAAGTGTCCTTAAAAAAAAATAAAAATTTGATTTAAAAAATAAACACTAAACACTATTACTTTATTACTAAACTTGATTTTGTTTTAATCCTTGGATCTTTGTTCCTGCGATGATAAGGATAACCATGTGATCCGTTGACATATAATATTTACTGACATTAAATTAATTATTATAAAAACATTCAATTTTCAAGGTTGTCCCTTTCTCGTAGGTTGCTTTGATTGACAAGCAGTCACTCATATGACTAATTTTTAGGCAATGATATTTAGGCTAATATTAATAATATAATGAGCACCTAAAAATTGTTTAAAATAAATAACTAGTTCCATACCCCCTAGTGAGGGTAGGCCCTACCTACTAAAATTATTTAATATCACACCAAGGTTAAAATCAGTAATTCAGAAGGCCTTAATTCAATATTCCAATTGAAAAAGAAGTTTAATATAATTTTACTATTTTAATAATTTCAACTCTCTGGAGACTGGGCCTTTTTGGACTGTCTGTGCCAAGAAGTCCTTTTCACAAGCCCTGCACTTTCTTTGCAAAAAAGATTTATACAAAATAAATTAATTACTTTACAAATATTAAACTGTATATATTCTTGTAGAGAATTGCATGAACTAATATGATCTTTATGAACCAAACTGAAATATCAACATTTATACCAATGAGATATTATGATTTGCATAATTTATGCATGCATTTTTCATAAAATATTCTACTAGGGGTGTGTATGCCTTTACATTATTTCAAGGTGACACTATTTTTTAAACATAATTTATAGACAGATAGAACACTGTAAACTATCAATGGAAGCAGTCATTAAAATGGCAAGAAATAGGAAGAGCAATCTGATTAGCTTATACAAGGACCAGCCAGCCAGTCTCATTGCTTGTATTTTTGAGCCTACGTTCTGCCATCAGTCTCTGTTACCATTCGATTTATCAGCCCAGCCATCTCAAGAGGATTAATAAATAGCCTAAGAATAATCTGTGAATAAATCGTTAATCGCCTAATAATGTTTTTTTAAATTTTAATTTGGACGATCAGTTACGCTAGTTTGGGACCATCCATATAATATGTTTGAGAAAATGACACATTTTCAAAACCCCTACCCCCCCCCCTATTGCCCCCGTACATTTTTAATAACAAATAATTATTTTCATCAGACCCCCCCCCCTCAAATCACATGCTCCAATTTATTTTATGACCATTAGGCATTACCATGATGTACATTGCATGCAATTAAATCTGTAAGCTGTGTAATGTGTTATAAAACATGTAACAAATTTTCTCTGCTGTTTGGCCTAGACTGGGTTCTCAAACAGTGTAGTGTGGAGATGAAATTCAGGCTAGTTATATGCTGTCTTTATTCCAACCCTTACTTACCATTCTCAGACCTTGTCTCTGAATTAAACTCTTTCTTAGAAAAAAACTCTTCAACCACAATATGAGATGTTTAAGTTAGACATGTTGACTTCAGTAAAAAAAAAAAAAAAAAGAAGGGGCCACATTGCCAACATTCTGAACCAGGAAATGTTTGTTTGGTGCCATGGCCATACATAGGCTATACCATTCATCCAGTATATGGCCAAACAGCAAATTAATTAATAGGTTTGGCCATCTGATCTGGTCAGATTCAGAATGCCTACTTACTACTATTGCACTAATATCAGGTACTCCATTTTCTTTCTGTGGACCCCCCACCTCTTTATTTTTTAAAAAACTAAATCTCACTCAGTGCATAGGCATAGGCATAGTGCATGCCTTAGCCTTGTTAAATAAACCATATTATTTATATTAATTAAAATATTAAAAAGCCAAGTTATTATAAGTATATTATATGCAGTGGATGGCCTCACTGTAAGTTGCTAAGACTAAGAGTCTAAGACTACTAACTAACAGTGAGAGTCTACCACATTTGACGATTTGTTTCAATATTAAATTTGAAGACGGTGAAGAAAATAAGTCTTTACTCTTTACTAAAATTCAACTAAAATACTAAATAACAACGACAAACCATTTTTATAAATGTGATATATATATCAGGGTAGAAATATTGTCCAACAGAGTATCAAATTATTTCAAAACAGTTGTTAAATCTAGTCTGGAATGATTGAATTATTAGGAAAAACGTCACATTATCAATGGACAATTGGTCGAGAGACACTCCCCCCGGAAGTGTATTCTCAGCAACACTTCAACCTAGATGTCGAATTTTTTCAATTTAATAAATAATTTACCGGAATACAGTATTTATGATATTTTTTTAAAATAAATAATTACTCATATTTGGTTTGAAATAGAATAATCCTTTTGGGGATACCTACCACCCCCTCATCCACCTTTCATCGTACTTTCACCCCCTTCACGCAACATCCAACGGACCATCTCAATGCAATCTATCCCTTCATTATCCATCTTTCACAATACCAATGTACCTTTCACCGTTTCACCTCCTTCAATCCACTTTCCACCCCCTTCAATCCATTTTCCACCTCCTTCAATCCACTTTCCACCCTTTTAATTCAACTCTTACTTATAAGGATTATATGTGATGATTAAGAATCTGTATCTGCCATAACGACATCTGATATGACGACATTACTGATTGACAAACATCGCTTGACTTTTGTATTTATTGATGGATTGAGCTAATTGAAGTAATTTTTCTCTTCTTTTGGTAACAAAGCCTATCGCCAAATCCTTGATTGTTGTGTCTGTAAAAGCATCCCCCACTTTATTATACTTTGAACCTTTCATACATTATGGTTTTACAACTATTAGATAACATCATCTATGGAAAAGGTGCATATTTAGGTGTGTGGCAGTGTAGGAGGCCACGGTTTTGCGAAAACAGTGTGTAGCGCCCAGAACATTGTATGGAAATTTGCCCTCGCCCAACGAGGAATTTGACCTTGGGATCAGGGCTTGGGTATAAGTTACCCTGCAGATGACCAGCGTTTCTCCGTTGCTCAGAATACTTAAATATTGGAAACCACTAGGTGTGCTCTAGTTATAAGTTCAATAATTTATTTCTCGGGACCCCAGTGCATCATGCTTTGAATTATATCTAGTCGGAAAGGGGAGTTTATTTGCTATACTTTAGTTTTTTTACAAGTCTCCAACGTTATAGGATAATTAATATTTTAATAGTAAGTAATTAAGAGATTTCACATTCATCCATGGGGTCCCAACCCATTTTACTTCAATATCTCAAAAACCATTTAACTGATAGAAATATAAGAATGTATCTCAGATAGCCGAGGCAAAACTGAAGAGGACACACATCTAAGTCTTTAGGGCTTTGGTCCGGGGTTTTGACTTTCATTCGGGTGTGGTCCCCAGGGTTTGTCACTTTACCACAGGAAATCTGCTTTCATTCGGGTGTGGTCCCCAGGGTTTGTCACTTTACCACAGGAAATCTGCTTTCATTCGGGTGTGGTCCCCAGGGTTTGTCACTTTACCACAGGAAATCTGCCAGAGGGCAAGTAAGGTACCGTCTTAGTCGGGGCGTGACGTACACGCTTTCTAGTCTGTTCGCGCGTGACTATTTAGGGCGGACACACTAAGCAGTTTTTTTTATCTTAGGTTTTAACAGCATCCCTGAAGTGTGTCATTGTGCACCGCGGCCCATTTGGACGCTCTGTAAGTAGAAGCAAATACGCCATTATATAATTTATGTGTTGGTAGAATGCCATCGTTAGGAGTTAGTAACTGAATATTTCATAACTTATATTAGGCAGTGTTTTAATCACATGTTAGCTCCTAAATTAACAATGCTATTGTGATGGGTGAACACACAACCGATCACTGAATTCTGAAATGGAATTAAATACCAGTTTATGTGAGCTTAACACTGAACACTGAACACGCAAACGTTATAGCGTTCTGGTTACACATACTGCAATGTGCTTATAAGCTATTGATACAACAGTATACATCCAGCGAACACTGAACACGCAAACGTTATAGCGTTCTGGTTACACATACTGCAATGTGCTTATAAGCTATTGATACAACAGTATACATCCAGCGAACACTGAACACGCAAACGTTATAGCGTTCTGGTTACACATACTGCAATGTGCTTATAAGCTATTGATACAACAGTATACATCCAGCGAATGTACGTCAAATGTGTATGATGGGCCGACTCTCCTGCCATGTGCTAAATTCTTACATAGAAAATGGTGCATGTGTTAGGAGACTATTAACAGCGGCATTAATATAATTAGACATTTCGCAATTTGCTTTTCTCTTTAAAAAGACACAGCGATTGATGGATGCAAGTCTCTAACTAAAGGTGGCTATACCCTACACCTGTCCTGCTATGGGTGCATCTTACATAGACCCCTTACATGGACGACAGTAACTTACATAGCCCCCTTACATGGACGACAGTAGCACAGTAATTTCTAGACCTTGATGTTAGCCCCCACATCTCACACTCGTTCTGTGTGTAACACTAACATAGAGTACGCACACTCGTTCTGTGTGTAACACTAACACAGTGTACGCACACTCATTCTGTGTGTAACACTAACACAGTGTACGCACACTCGTTCTGTGTGTAACACTAACACAGTGTACGCACACTCGTTCTGTGTGTAACAATAACACAGTGTACGCACACTCGTTCTGTGTGTACCACTAACACAGTGTACGCACACTCATTCTGTGTAACACTAACACACTGTACGCACACTCGTTCTGTGTGTACCACTAACACAGTGTACGCACACTCGTTCTGTGTAACACAAACACAGTGTACGCACACTCGTCTGTGTAACACTAACACAGTGTACGCACACTCGTTCTGTGTAACACTAACACAGTGTATGCACACTCGTTCTGTGTGTACCACTAACACAGTGTACGCACACTCGTTCTGTGTGTAACACTAACACAGTGTACGCACACTTGTTCTGTGTGTAACACTAACACAGTGTACGCACACTTGTTCTGTGTGTAACACTAACACAGTGTACGCACACTCGTTCTGTGTAACACTTACACAGTGTACGCACACTCGTTCTGTGTGTACCACTAACACAGTGTACGCACACTCATTCTGTGTGTAACACTAACACAGTGTACGCACACTCGTTCTGTGTGTAACACTAACACAGTGTACGTGCCACAAGTTAAACACTGCCACGTCATTTCTTATATAATTAAACATTAGTACGATGATAATAGTTTTAATTGCCCTTAGTACTACTCCATTCTTAGTCAAATATATTTTGTGGCCTCTTGTAATGACGTAGTTATTAACATATTTATTATTAGCTGTGTTATTCAATGTTAATCAGGACATTGTTAACCTGTACTATTTGTTTCTTTTCAGATATTGACATTTTTCTTTGGACTTTTTCTTCCACTTTTTCTTCCACTTTTTCTGTATATTTTTTTGTTGTTGGCAAGTTGATAATAAAGCTATAGTCCTCAAGACCTGAATTTCTTTAGTAAAACTGTCAGCCACGTTCATCACCACCATGATCACACTGCTACAGTTGGTTTGTACAAATCTTTCTATACACAGAGACTGAGGAAGTTACAATGGGATCTTTTTCTTGTTGTGTATTGTCTGCTGAGGAAGGCATTTAGCCGAAACTCATTTATTGTCTTGTCTTTTTTTAAAGCCTAAACATGTTATTTACTTAGAATCTGAGCAAGGCTAGAATCTCTCTTGGTGAACAAATAGGTTTTATTTGAACATGTCTGATGGAAAACATGAGATTAAAGAACCAGATTACCATTTATAAAAAGTAAAATAATCCATTTTAAAGAAACAAATATTTATTTAAACAAAATAAGGGTTCACTCTGCAGACACATTGCTGGCCCAGCCCAGCACTAAAAATGCAGCTAAAAGCTCAAAAGTTCTGAAATGGAAGCAGATTTAATCTAATAAAAATAGTACAAACTATGCTCTTCAAACATAATTTCAAGTGGTTGATTTTGGATTTTGATTTAAAATGACAGGTGATGATTTTTGAAGTGTCGGACTTGTAGAAATATCAATATCCTTTTCTGAATAACTTGATAGTACCATGTCATGTTTGGGGGTAATATTATTTACAGTTCGAGTCTTGGGAGTATGACCTCTAGTTGAAATTATTTCATTCTCGTAGTAATCTTTCAACTCTGACAAGTCATCTTCCATCATCTGAAAAACTTGTTTGGATGTAGTCATCGAGGCTTTAAATTTGACCTCTTGATCACTCAGGCCTTGCTGAGCTTGAATTAAACAATGATTGGGTGAAAGATGTGGGAGTCTGAGTATCTCATTTTCAAAACTTTCTTGTGAAATGGAAGACAGGCTTCCAGCTCTGGACAACTCACCTGAAGATGACAGACTACTGACTCTGGACAACTCCCCTATAGACAGAGAAATTTTTGGTAAACTTTTAAAATGATCCCCAGGTTTGTTTGAATATGTGATTTCACTGACAGATTTTTTCACTGAACTGATGTGGTCACGCCTGTCTACATGAAATGAACCAAAGGAACTAGGAGAAGAGTCAGAGGAATCGTGAACACTGTCAAATAAATATGTTTCGCTGCTAGAGCATGGTGAAAAGTCTGCAGCATTATTTGAAGACTTGTCCTTCTCAAGGTTGTATACGGATTTGTCTGTTGCCTTGACGTGTTTGCTGGCAATAATTGTGTCTTCTTCATCTGAATCACTGTCTATTTCTCCACCAGGCTTGGTGTCCTTTATGGCTTTCCAGGTTTCTGCTCGTATCGTCTCAGCATCACCTTCTTCTGCAAGACAACAAAGCCATATATTATTCGAGCCCTAATTAAGTTCAATAATCATTCTATTGGCTGGGTTATAACAGTATATAATGATAATAATAATTATTGGGATTCTTGTGCAATAATTAACTTATATAAACTCAGTATTAATTGCATTCAAATTTTATTATTAACATTTATCTAAATCACATTAAAAATTTATTTATAGTAGCTGGAAAATGAAAAAGAATACGTTTTTAATAAATGAATTTAATATCTGATATATCAAAGATTTTGCATTCCTCTTGATATCAGATTTCTTTAGTAAAGAGTACTAAATATTTAAAGATCAGTGATAAATGTGACAGTATGAGTGACTGATGATTATTGTTGTAGTATGTATTGATTGAACTTTGGGATTGTCCTGTGTTGTTGACATGTTGTATGACTGGATCTGGTGAATTGTTTTCATAAACACTTAAACTTAAATGTGTGAATACTGGCTGGAGAACTGGAGTCAGTGATCATGTGATGCAGGGTATAAAAAGAATTTAGAAAAGAATGTTACACAGGCTTGAGTTGATAAATTATTATTTTTTACTGGCATCCATCCACCACAATGTGACGATGGTGTAGACTTGACAGGACAAAATCCACAAGGCCTGGGATTATTTTTTTTAGGATTATAAGCTGGTTCCCTACATAGCAAATCGCCTCTCTCCACGCCACTGAATAACCCAAGGGAACATCATGTGGATGATACAGCTTGGCACCATTGGCGTCGCAGGAGTTGTCGGAATGTTTCATTGTGGTAATCAATTCAGAGTTTCCTTCTCTTAGACGAGTTGCCATCCAAGGTTAATGAGTCCCATCCACCTGGGGGTGCTGGCGATGTTTATGCTTGACTGGGCTTTGATGGGGGATTGAACTCCAGACCATGAACTTGAAATAGGCTTGGTTAAGACCACTTGGCCACCCAGCCCCCATTTCTTATTATACTGTTACAATAAAATCCCACAGTATAAACCCACATAATTAAGTAAACATGTGGAAAGTAAACATTCTCTTTACCTTCTAGAATCTTGTCATCATCTTCCCTGAGTGCTAACAGTTTACTGCTCAGTGGAAAGTAAACATTCTCTTTACCTTCTAGAATCTTGTCATCATCTTCCCTGAGTGCTAACAGTTTACTGCTCAGTGGAAAGTAAACATTCTCTTTACCTTCTAGAATCTTGTCATCATCTTCCCTGAGTGCTAACAGTTTACTGCTCAGTGGAAAGTGAACATTCTCTTTACCTTCTAGAATCTTGTCATCATCTTCCCTGAGTGCTAACAGTTTACTGCTCAGTGGAAAGTGAACATTCTCTTTACCTTCTAGAATCTTGTCATCATCTTCCCTGAGTGCTAACAGTTTACTGCTCAGTTAAAAGTGAACATTCTCTTTACCTTCTAGAATCTTGTCATCATCTTCCCTGAGTGCTAACAGTTTACTGCTCAGTTAAAAGTGAACATTCTCTTTACCTTCTAGAATCTTGTCATCATCTTCCCTGAGAGCTAACAGTTTACTGCTCAGTGGAAAGTGAGCCTCAGACAAAAGTTTCTGTAATTGCTCTTCACTAAGAAGTGGTGGATTCTCCATGAGGTACTGGCGCGAGGACAACTGGGACCTGACAAATAAAAATAATACAAACAGTAAAGACATATAAACCAATCAAACGTCACAGAGATATTACTACCTAAAGAATTTGCTGTAGTTATTGTAATCTTGACACCCTATGTAAGCAAGTGAATACTTGACAAAAAAGGTATTTTGAAAATTCAATAAATAGATAGGTCTAATAGTAATGGTAACCAAGTTAGAAGAAAAAGCCTCTAATAAGTAAATGTATACCAGTAAGTAGAAATGCCAGGTACAGAAGGTGAGAAATAAAATATTAATATTTGGTGACCTGGGTGTGGAGTCTGGAGTTTCCAGATAAGAAGTTCTGGACAAGTTTCTAACACATTCATCTAGAAGCTTCTCCAACTGCTCATCCGTAAGATGTTTTTCCTCCTCATCCTTGGAAAGATGAATGGTAAGAATTTAAATTATTAAAAACAAATGTCTAAAATTCATTGATATATATTATATATTTTAATTAAATTTTAATATTAAAATAAATATATTAACATTTCTGTAATATGCCAAATTTATAGGTTCCAATGTTATCGATTACATTTTCAAATACCCGGTACCAGTAGTATTTACAGTGACAGGAAAAAAAATGATAAAATCAAACAATTGATGTGAATCAACACTGTCAGTTATAGATGTAAAAAAGATTCACTCAACACAAATACGTCATCAAACTGAAAGCTAAACACACATTTTTACAACATTGACAAATTCATGAAAAAAGTAATCAAGCATATAATCTCTACCTCCATCTCTTGTGGGATTTTAAATTTTTCAAGTTCTTTTTCGATGGTCTGTAACCTGACACTGAGTTCTCTTTCTTCCTTTGTCTCAAAGAGAGTACGTTCCCCTGGCTCCTCTACTGCAGGAGTTTTGATCCCAACTCGAGTGAAAAGTTGCTAATGACAGGTGAGAGCAAAAACATGTTGCTAGTGACAGGTGAGAACAAAAATATGTTGCTAGTGACAGGTGAGAACAAAAAGATGTTGCTAGTGACAGGTGAGAACAAAAACATGTTGCTAGTGACAGGTGAGAACAAAAACATGATGCTAGTGACAGGTGAAAACAAAAACATGTTGCTAGTGACAATGATGAGAACAAATACAAGCACAAACAAATAACTACAAAAACTAAATAAAGCACAGAATACAATTTAATTGTGCAAGCTTTTTATAAAAATCATCAGTGAAACAAAAATTATAAATCCTTTTTGAAATATAAGAAAAGATAGATAAAAACGAAAATCTGTCTGTAAAGTATTTTTTATCTATGAATTTTGTCAACTTAAATTTTTTAAACTGAACCAATCCACCTTTTCCTTTCTCTTCTTGACCTGTAAAAAATGTCCAATATATTTTGTTGTCATTGAACCTAGTAACATACATGCGAGACAGCATTGCTTTTCATCGTGTTTACGATCATGGCATTGAATTCTTCTTCAGGCATGATTTGTTTCAGTTGTTCATTGATGTTGGTCAAACTCATCCTTTCAGTTGTGTCTGGACAGAAACCTTCCCCTGGATGAACTGCAAGTTGATATGGTCCAACTGTCACAGGCTAAAATGTTGAAAATAACAAGAGAAAGTCTCACTAATTATGGCGAGTTTACAGCACACATAAAATGACAGTGTTCTAGTGGTCAAATCAAAGCCTGAGTTTTGGGCAACATAAGGGCCCAAATAAAAGAATAAAATCTGTTATTCCAACTTTAACTAATTTGAAATTGAGCCTATGTAATGTCTACATTTTACGTTGGTTACACATTATTTACATAGGACACAAGAGAAGATTCATTTTCAGCTATAACTTACATTTAAATTATTATATATATATATTGAATATTGTAATAAATAACTCTTTGAAATTGTGGCCCTTGTATGTCCTTTATGATGTAATTTTGTTCAAGAAATGCAATTGTTTAAGACAATATAATTATGACATAATCTCAGAGTGACTAAATACACTAGAGGGTGCATAATTCCATGTAAAATAACTTTACCTCAGCAGGATTCTCAATGTCTGGTAGGTCATCCACACCTTCAAGTAGTTCCTCTAATCTTTTCTTCTCATCATCAGTCATTGCTATTGGATCATTGCCATGAGCTGCTAACTGTGGAAGAAGATACAATGTAATAAATACGTTATGAACAATCTTTATGCAATTTAAAACAATGACCTTCAAAACAATACTTGTTTCTGTTTTTGAAGGACATGAAGCAAACATATAGAATCAAAAACATTTGAATTGAATTATTTTTTTATCTATACTATTTTGAGTTATTATTTTACTTTTTACAATGAAAATAGAAAAATAGTTATAAATTACCTTTTTATTTCTTTTGATAAAGTTTTTAGATGTATTTCCTTTTCCAGGAGGTCTAGACATGCTTGAGGCAGTATTTCTAGTTTCACCCTTGTTGGGAGTGTTAAGCTCTGATCTGGACTTTTGATTTTCTATTGGTCAATGTTTTCAATTAATTATATAGTTTCTAGTTTTTTTTATAATTTTGAAGAAAATAAAGTTTAAGTGTCCATTACAATTTATAAATGCACTGCTTAAACAATCTTGCATTTATCTAAATTAATTGCATATTTTTTTGTTATTTATTAAGGTAGTAGCAAGACATGCATATATAAAACATTTATAAATGACCCCACCCAACCATTTCCTAGAACATCCAGTGAAAAACATGGATCATCTGTTATCATAAAAATCATACATTAACTTATGTTGATGAAAACAACATATTTTATTGTAATTTTTAAATCATATTTACCTTGAGTGTGATCCCCACCTGCCTTGTTTTTACTATTAATATTTGTCTTGATCTCAGCCTCATCTATCTGTGTTTGAAACACGGGGGGAATGTTGTCCTCATTGTCAAGAATGATACCTACAAAAAACAACAAATATGTTCGTTAATCAAAATTTATTTTAAAGAAAAATGACATAAAGATGGCTCTAAAAATGTTAATCAGATAAAAAATGTGAGATTCGCAACAGGGCAAGTAATTAACCTCGTAGCAATTAATATTTATTGTACGATGTTTCATTATCTTTGATTAATTTCAAGAATTTTTTACCCTTCAAAATATATTAAAATTGTTTAAACTGGATAGTTTTATGTAAAATCATCCAGAGGATGAAAATTTAACTACTCCTCGTTTTTAGCAAAAAGCAAATAAATTAAATAATAACTGATACCATATTGTCTTGGCTAGGTGCAGTTTATTAACACTTATACAGTTTTACGATATTTCTTGAGTTACACAACTGATTTTTTCCCCCCCATAAGAAAGCATCTGGTAAAAGAATTTCAATTTATGGTAATGTAAATGGAATCCTGAAAAAGCACATTGATTGTTTTAGAAAAGAATTTAGAGGTAAAAAAATAAGTTAACTTGGAGAAAGGAAGGCTGAGAAATGTTTACAAATGCTGATAAAATAAAAGTATCATGGCATTGAGCAGAGACAGCTCAAACACTTTAGTTACCGCACAAGCAAGTTGTCTGATAAAAATTGAGAAGTTGCTGACCACAAAAATATTTAGTTTTTTTTTTTACATGTTTCTAGGTTTTAAAAAACTTTTTAAAAAATCAAATGTATATTTTTGGGCTTCACTTCTAAGAGTATTGAAAAGGTTGGCAATATTTCAAGTTATATAACATATCCCCACTAGAAAAGAGGAAAGAATGCATGAGACGTTGACCTCAGTGCTTGAGGACCTGGACTATGCCTATAGAATAGGATTGCCGTCCACCAAAAGCCAAGATGCATAGGATAAAATAAAGAGGCTAACTGGTACTGCCTCTATCATAGGACTTAAAGTCAATGTCACAAAAACAGATGTGGTGAGAAAATAGGCCAGCGCGGAGGACACAATCACTGTATACAATAGCTCACAGCGGAGGACACAATCACTGTATACAATAGCCCACAGCAGAGGACACAATCACTGTATACAATAGCCCACAGCGGAGGACACAATCACTGTATACAATTGCCCACTGGAAGATTGGACAGAGTTTAGTCAAACAGCTGGTGAGTGTTACAGGTTATAGATAATTTCCATTGAAGTGCTGAGATGTCAATCCAGAGGGACAAACATTGTAGAAGTAGAAACCATGAATGCAAGTCACTATACTACAGATGGATTGGTAATGTTTATAGAAGGCCAACAGCTGACTTTTTAGAACAGCACTAAAGAGGACAGCCCAGGGAAGATGAAACTAATAGGCACTTTTTCAAACACCAATGAGAACATAATGATTGAATGAAAGAACCCTGTAATTTCATATTTATTCTGTTATAAAACTTGTTTAATTTTAATCCGTATTACCTGCATTTGATAATAATAAAGTTCTCATTTTTGTGAGTTGTTAAAAAGCAAATAGTATAAATTACTACTGTTTAACAAGTCTATAGTAATTTTAAGATGACCATAATATTAGTTCAGTTAGGAACTCAACCTTTGAAGCTACATGTCACATAAATACACTGATACACAAAGATCCTTGACCTTTATAATGGGAGCTACATGCCACATAAATAGACTGACAGACAAAGATCCTTGACCTTTATAATGGGAGCTACATGTCACATAAATAGACTGAAACACAAAGATCCTTGACCTTCATTATGAGTAGATGGGAGCTCCAGAGATAAAAACTTTTCAGTGTTGAACTTGATTTCACGATAAAATGGCGTTCCTTGATCCATCTCAGCAATCTCTTTGCGCATTCTAGAAAAGCAAACAAAACCACCAGTGATTAGAAAAGTCTTTATAAAATTGTACTCCGTACAAGATGAAAATGCCAGCCCTAATAAACGCCTTCTCCCTTTGTAAATTGTGACAAATTTGTCAAGGTCATTGTGAAACATGTGGAAGATTAATTTTGTTACTTAACATTACAGTATTTAGTAATGGTTGGTAGTGAACTAATCTACCTTCTTTCTAAGAGAAGTCTTTCTTTTTTGACTTCTCTTTCTATTTTGAGTTTCTTTTTCAGAATTTTATCCAGCTTGTTCATCTTAATGATGGCCTCTTTCAGTCGTGGGTCCATGTTCTCATCCATTCTTAGCGAGTCATCAACATCTTTTTTCTCATCTTGTTCTCCGGGTGTGTGGCCAGATTCAATGGCTTTCAGGCGACTCTGGAAGCCAGCCAGCTCATCTTTCATCTCATCTCGAACCTGAATTAGAGAAAATTTTAAGTTAATTGACTGATATTTTGGTGATCAACTATAATTTCTAAACTAACTTGTTTTATAGTAAACAAGAAATGATGCTGAGGTGATTACCTTAACATCAACCCGGTAGGAGATCTAAATTTGGCACAGATGCACAAAGTCCATTAATGTACACTTTTTAATACAGAATAGTTCTAGAATCAAAAGTTTAACTTTAATTAAATCAATACAGTTATGATAATTTGAATCAAGAAATGAGATTTTCTCGTTATCAGTGATATTTTGTCTATAAAAACGGCTTAGATATCCTGATGAAGCTGACAGTCATTTCTGGATTAATTCATGAAAATAACATGAAATTTGATTATTTAATTATGCACCTTTATTTCAATTTCCTCTCTGATTTCTTTCATGATATCTCTCTCTTCCTCACTGTCTATGTCATCATCATTATCATCTTCATTTCCTTTAAAAATAGACATAAATATAATAAATAGGTGACAACAGCATCATTGAACATGTGAAAAAAACAACAGTATATAGATATTGCAGAACACACTTGCAGTTCTTGCTCTTACAGGCATTCTATTTACAAAAACTTGTTCCCAACAAATTCACCCTCCCCAGCCAAAGCTAACACTAAATGCCGACAGAGGAAAAGAAAGGTAAGAGCTTATATTCTCCTCTATCATTTTCACCAGCAGTACTAACTGCTTAAATTAAAATAAAAATACTGGTACTGTATTGTTCCAAGTATAGGCCAATTAACTTTTTCCTCACTAATTTAAGTCTTTAAGCTAGGGATGCGGCCCACAATTGGATTTTGCACACAAAAAAACAACAATTTTTAAAAAAATTATAAAAATTGTTTTAAAAAATAACACCAAACTTTAAGGTTGCTGCCTATAATCTAGAGTGGCCTATACTCGGAACATTTTGGTGAATATCTTACCTGCAAATACCAAGGCATTTTTAGTTTGCTCAGCTATGTGGTGATCATTGTTGAACATTCTTGTCCTGGAAGTTCCTGACTCTTGATTATAAAGAATAGAGTTCATAACCGCTAAGCCTTCCTCATCAAGATCTTTCATTTCTAAGTCTCCAAAGATATCAGGAGAGTAATCATCATCAGTTTCTTCATTATCATCCTCATCATCATCCTCATCACTATAAACTTCTTGGCTTGGTAATAAGTCTGCAAATCTTGCACCTTTCTTTTGAATACAATAATTATCAATACATTAAAAAATGTAAATCACTGTTACACTTTTTTTTTTTAAACTATAATTTCATAAATATTTCAATTTCATTGTATTAAAAAAATCTGTTAAAATATGTTTTCATTCCAAGTATTTTGATAATTAAAGTGAGATTAAAGAAACTTTTAAAAAAAAATTTTCATAAATAAAAAACAAAAATAAGTTTTTAATAAGTTGGTTTAATAATTGATAATTTCTATGATTTTATTCCATACCTTTATCTGATTGATTTCATGCAGATTTAATTCTTTAGCCATTGCTGTACTATTAGAAGCTATCTTGAAAAATACCTCATAGGTAAATTGATGAAAGCAACGAGGCTTAGAGGTCTATTTCAGTAAAAAGTTTTCATAAGGGTAGTTAATATTTAAACATTGCAGAGTCTTGATTATGACTTTGCTTAGTTTCACACTGAAAGGGAGAGTAATACTTGTTAAAGTTAAAGTAAAATGTTATGAGTAATTCAAAGGCAGTGAGAAATGTCTAAGTTATGAAAGGTTACTAGGCCTAGACATACCAATAATATATAAATACAGTAAGACATCAATAATCAAAAGTAATGGTGGACTAATATTTATATTATATATATATACTAGATATAGCCCGCCAAACATTGGCGACAGCAATGCGTGAACTTTCCATCTAGTAAAGTTACTTGACAAAACATAAACTCAAGTAACGCACATTTAAGAATCTTAATTATTTTACTTCACCCCTTCCCCATGATACGCCGCTGCGCACTTTTTATTTCTCGCCAATGAACTATATTAATATTCTCATGTCCCAACCACTTTTAAACCAAAAATTTTTGACACATTACTTAAATTGAGACGATTTCATTTCCGAAAAGAAAATATTACGCACCAAACGCAATTGCGTTATTTAAAAATAAATATAATATATCATTTAGTGGAGGTATCAAGAATTATATTTTCGCGCTATTGAACTCATTATTGAACCAAGCCTGCTTGGTCTTTGACCCGTCTTGTTTAACCTTTGCTGGCGAATTATATATATATAGATTATAGTATAAAAATGTGTTGTAAATATTGAGGTCACGGTTTACCACCTGACTTGTGAAAGGTTATTGTTATTACATCTCCAATGAACATCTTTGTTGTTATTTTTTTTTGGTTATGTTTAAAAATTTGAAAGCATTCACATTCACTTTAAATCACATTGTGATTCTTGCTCTGCCTATGCAGATATTTTTTTAACAAGGTAATCTGAATTTTTGATGCTCTGGATTTTGGACTCACCTGATTTTCCACACTTGGGATTTTGGATGCTCCAAACTTTTGATTTCCGGATTATCAATGTCTTATGTTATAGTTATGTTCTTCAAATTGACTTATTTTAATAAATAAGTAAATAAGCCTATGAATGAATATAATATATATTTTTTAGGCCTACCGAGCTAAGTTTCTGTTGTCTTGTTATGTAAGTAATCTCAATGCAAATTTATGTAGTAAGCAAGTAGATAAATAGACCAGCCCTTTTCCGCAAGTCTTTCGTTGACAGGCAGCAAAAAAATGAATATTTATCTTCAAATAAAAAGAAAATATAATTTTAATTTAAAAATCTGGTTCTAGTCCTTAGTCCAGTTTCAAAACTTGTCCAGCCACCAGTCTGCCAAACTTAAAAGTTTGGAACAGGTTGCTGTAGATATTTAAATTTAAAAGATTATTTTTTTAAAATAATGTCATCCACTTTATTTAAATTAGGTAATTGGTCGTTATTTTACTAAGTAAGTAAATGTAAATCAATCAATTCAAGCCGCACGAGCGGAAAGGGTAAAAATTGCCTAAAAAAACTAAAAGTAAAAGTAAAAGAACAACAAATTGTTGATATAATTTACTTTTTAAGTGAAGTCAACTAATAGTGTTAATTTTCCACAATAAGTGATCTTGCAGAACATATATTAGGGCTTTGATACAAGTTCTAGGACTTCAGACATTGTTTTGATTACTCTACCTTTTCACCCAATTTGCACATCATTGCCCGTCACAATTATCCTAGCAACATGATGCAGACGCCATATTTGAACTATTCCGTCATAAATTTCGACTTTTAAAATTATCCAAAAATTCATTGCCCGTTAAATTAGGTTTAATATCTCTTAATTTTTACAACTATCAATCAAGCTGTAACAATAAGTGTACAAATAATCAAAAGTATTTTTACGCTTTACTTTTGGGGTGTTTTTACGTATTTTAAAGCATGCACTTAAAATGTATTTTTTGTATAGTATAATTAGTAAATCCACATTTAATTATTATCATTATTATTAAGGTGGTTTTATATAGCTCGGTACCCCAGCCTAGGGCTAGCTCACTGCGACTGCGCTTCACATAAAAAATTAGCATTTACAGAAAATTATACTTTTAAAAACAACAATTGTTAAAAAGCTTAAACTCATCCACCCAAATACTATCTGCCCTTTTCTAGCCATGGACAACACCCAGCAGCATCGAGCGTTGTTTATCAGCTAGAAGGGGTGGGGGTGAGAATGAGCCGGTATAGTAGAGTTTAAGTCCGACCCCAGATCTGCTCTCGGAATCTTGGAGAAGAGATCAGATACCACTGACCTAGTTGACGTCTTCATTGATGACGTGTGCAAAATCGGTGAAATAGGAGGCATGGTGACAGTGCAGTGGATCTCAAATCACAGTCACGTCACTGTCAGTGGCAATGAGAAAGCTGACACTCTGGCAAAAACCGGGGTTGCAAAGCCCCAGGCAGAAATACCAATAACTTATTTAGGAATAAAGAACTGGCTGACAGACCTCTTCAAGACGAAGTGGTACAGGCAATGGGAAGACAACACGACCGATAGAGGTGTCTTTTCGAATTTGCCCACTCCTAGCAGACAAGACACATGGTGGTGGGTTAGGCCGTAGACAGCAGAGCTTAGAGACGCAGATGCGCACCGAGCATTGCCCCATGGGCACATTCTTCTGGCGGCTGGATAACAACAGGGACCCTACCTGCCAGCATTGCAGCCTGGTCACGGAGACACTAGCACACCTGTTAGCCAAATGTCCATCACTAGTCAGGGTGGTTGGAGAGCCCTACGTGAGGATAATGTCCTATGGCTCAACTCAGTAAATGGAGCTGGTAACCAATGAAGTAGCTGGGGTCATAAGAAAGTAATCTCAGACCCTCACCAGAATATGTGTGTTAGTAGAGTTTAAAGTATTTGCGGGTGTGTATTGGGAGAGAATATTAGGCCTTACAGTTTAACATTTATGTCGGTGCTGTTGAACATGCTTTTTCAACATGACTTGTGATGTCAAATAGATGTTACAGATTTTGCAAATCCGTTCAAGCAGCGATGTTATTATTGTTACTCACTTTACATTCACCTGGACAATGCCACTGTGAAATCGACATCAGTCGAAAGCTTCAAGGCTGCCCTGGCATCAGCTAGGAGCTGTTAGAATAGCAGCATCATACCCCAACCGTTGCACAGATGCCAGTACATGGATGCAGCAACGAACACTACCAGAACCAGAACCAGAGAACTTAATTCTCAAAGTATCGTATTCCTACTCTGTCAATACCATTTATCTTGACTGCACATGACACTTGAACCTTGTCCTTGTTCCATACCTGCAACAGAATCTTCAGGTGAAGAAAGACCAACGTTTAACTTCTCTTTCACTAACAAAGTGTGTTAACATTCTGACCAGCCATGTGCAGTGCACAGAAACACATTAAATAAATCTTATATTGTTAAAAATAAAAGCCTAAAAATTAAATGACTATTTACAATTATTTACACTTAAAAATTAAAAAATAATAATGTAATAACCAGTCAATTTTTAAGATTAAAATTTTAATAGAGAAATGTGATTGTTGACCTCAAATAATCTAAACACCCTCCCTCCCCCTTGTCAACAACTGTCAAAAATCCCCCCCCCCCTATTTTTTTGATGTCATTAATGGACGCCCCTTTGCCTTTTCATATCTTCTTCTTTTTGCATAACATTAATAACATGTTAAGGAAATGACAGAGATGCCCATAAGTACATTGCATTACGTCATTTCAAACACGTTCAAGATCAAAATTTGTTGCAAACTAAGCTAACAAGAAATACTATACCTATACTCAAATCTATAAGGCTATATTGAAAAATTGGAATTTGAATTGCAAACCTTGAAATAGAGCTGTCTCAGGCAAAAAAAACCCGCAGTAAATGCATTCTCTTTCCCAGGCACGGATCGATTTCTTTAAAAAAAATACCTTGAAATAGCATAATACATGTAACTTAATACTCAAGGGGGCTTTCTGTGGGAGAAAAAAGTTCAATTTCGACAATAATCATGTGTGGCACGCAAACACTTTGCTTCGCTTATCAGTCTGCAGTCTTCTAATGACTGATACTGTGAGTCCGATAATGCTACCGGTGGGAAATTCTTAATATATTAATTATTAACCCTAAGAGAATCAACCTTGTTTTACAGTCTCATATTTTATTTATTTATTTTATATTTTAAATGAAAATTATTGATTACTCATTAGGCGTCTTTGTAAAATGACTCTGAATTTAATGACAATCCATTACGAAACATCTTTAAAATGTGCCATTTCGTAAATATATGGGGTTTATGTATATTTCGGTTATGAGCGTGACCAAAGCCTTACAAATTCAACGGTTGTAAATATCAACAGTGTTTCGCAATTTTAGTTACCCTTAGTCTCATCCTAGGAGATTCACTTAGTAGGTAAATAATTTTAGAACGCTTATTTAACACACTATCACATCTGAAGGAACTTATTTATTCAGTCCGTAATTTTTACTAATTAAACTTTAAAAATTTAAAGAACTGCAATGCGGCAAGCTGACCATGCCATGCCCCGCATAGCCGCGCCAGTACTACACTACAACAGTCGTAATAATAATAAATTCCAGTATTATTATTGGGACATGCATTTACATTGAGAAGTATAGGAGAGTGAAATTGAATGAGATAATGGCAATGATTTTAAATTCTAGGGCAAATAAATTAAAGAATAGCCTTGAATAGGGCAATAGGGGAATGAAATTGAATCCCACTACTGCCGCAGTATCAACTCTCTATTATTTTTTTTTTATATATAAAATAATATAATGCATAGTATAGTGAGATAGTCTATAGTTAAAGTTAAAGTATAGGCTTCCAGCCTAAATGGTTTACTACTGCGATCAATTAAAAAAATACTGAATGGGCTAATTTGGAGAGATAGCACCCTGGCCCTGACGTCATTTGCGTGTTTTGTCCCTGGTTCCGATAGGCTCAAAACGGCTAATTTCTTGGATTTCTCATGCTCTCAAGGAGGACTTAAAACTGAAACACATGGTTGGAAGGCTTTACAAAAATGCAATCTGGCATATTCCAATCATTATTTAGTAATATTTTATTCTAAAATGAATGTTAATCAAGATATAAAAATATGAAATTAAAAAAAATAAACAAAATAAACAAATGGGGATGAGCATAATAAGAACTTAATTAATGGAGTAACAGCCCAGGTGACCTGCGGCCACCTTATTCCCCTGTGTAGTCCCATATGTTATATACTGTGCACTGCAGCTGTATTAGACATTTATTAGATATATCAATAATTATTTGACGCTACTCCATTCTCTTATCATCTGTGTCCCTTGATTTAAGTTGATAGTTGATGATTTAGGTTGATAGTTGATAGGTCTTTACTTACGATTTTCTGTTAGGTTTTGCTAACTTAACATTTGACTTTAGTAGTCTGTTAATGTAAAAATGTTGAACCATATCTTTTTGTACTTTTGTCCTTTGCTGTTCTTTGATTGTGTAGCCCAACCTTTTAGTTTTTAAAAATGTTTTGAAATTTTAAAATAAAAAACTGATTAATTCATTTATAAAAGCATGAAAATTTCTTGCAAAAATCTGTAGTATATTATCTTTGATTATAAGGTGGGAGAACAAGCACATTAAACAGATTCTTTGTGGTAAGACATTGTAATCTGTAAAATTATTCAGATTTTAAACATGTATTCAAAACATAAGTTTCAATTAAATTTTGGTGAAATAACCTTTTTGATGCATTTTTGTATATTTTTGTTTACTGGTGTTTAAATTTATGACATATGAATTGAAATAATTTTGACTATAGATTTTTTTTGGAAAAGCTGTTGACATTAATTTCAACTTTATTTCAGCAAACATGTTTTTATGATTTAATCAAATTATTATTACATCATTGCCTTGCAAAAAATTTTAATTTATGGACATTAATATAGACACCTTTTAAAATGGGATATCTATAAAAGATGTGTTTGATATGACACACTCTATGAAGCAGGTATTCAAATTCAAGGATGTAGATCAGCAATATCACTTGAGTAATTCTATTTGTTGGCTGTTAATCGTTAAATGTGAACAATTGTCCCTAGATTTTAAGATCTGCCAAATAAGAATATTTTCCTTAAAATGTGCAAAGTGACCACATGATTTCAGTAATAAATGTATCGGCATCACTTCAGTAACATGAAAAGTTCATGTTTAATTTTCAAACAGCCTGAAAATGATTTAGTTGGTTAATAGATTGTGGGAGCCTGAATTCAGAATATTGATTAAAATTATATTATTAAGGAAGTAAAGATAACAAGAAGAAATCAATTTGTTAAGATATCACTCTGTACAACTGAAAATCCTTAAGGAAGGAATTATTTCTTTTAAAAGCTTTGATAATACTAGGCCATGCAGGAATTTGGCGAGCATCATGAATTAATGTCCTCTTTTATTCTATTATCCTTTGACTCGGACATCACATTAAAAATATAATCTTCTGAAAGGGTTTCTGCTGCAGAAAGCATGTCTTCACATTCTCATTAAGGGAATCATCAATCTTTGCTAGAGAATTTGGATTTCTTGAAGCTAAATGTATGTATAGAATTTTAGGTGGATGAAAAAATATCTCTTCAATATGATTGAAAAACCAATGCTAAGATTATGTAACTACCAGTGTTTTAAAGCAAAAAGATACAGCTTGTGGCACTCAGGTGACTTGAAGCAGTATCAAAGAAG